AACGTTCCTCCATCACCATTGAAGGGAGCACAAATGTAAAATTGGATTTGGGATTATCTCCCATTATCTTGGATCTCATTATCTTATTTGTTAGGATAGTATATGGATCGATTAGATCAAGTAATGTAGACTCACAGTTGTTGAATCGTAGAAGATTAGTGAATTTCGGACCAGAATTGAAAAATGACTTAGAACACCTGGATAAAACTGAGTACAACTGGATACTACTGACACCTGGGTACTACTGATTAATATATTGGTACAACTAAGAAGTTTTTACTATTTTGTTTGTTTACTATTTTAGTTTTCATGTCAAAACAATTTATACCTTGTTAACAACAAATAGTAATTTACTAGATGAAAAAATATTTTTTACAAAAAAAATTGATTTATAATTTTGGCAACAAAAAAATATTTTACTAGTAAAATACATGTTTCGTATCATATAATAAGTAGTATTTAGTATAAAAAATCAGAAATATTTATTTTTTGTTTTAAAATTTTTTAGTAAAAACACAATATTAGTTATTTTATTTTTCTATAATTGAAATTTTAAAAATATTTGATTTATGCAATTTCATATTTTGAATCTTCCATCAATCACCTTAAACTTTTAAGAAAAATTTTATAATGCTATATATCTTCTTATGCAAAAATTGAGACGAAATGTGGTCTTCCACATATTTTGGCATGGAAACATAAGAAATGTGTTACTAATGCCAAAAACCACATGTACAACTGAAAATTTATTTTTCATAACAAGGTAAAACTAAAAAAATAACGAAATCCTGAAAATACAATTATTAACAAATATGCACAACTAAATAACTAGGCACAACTATGTACTAGATAACGGTGTACATGTGTTAAATACTTAAATATGTCCAAAGAATGATTTTTTTTAAAAGAATTGATTTGTATTTTTGGTAACAAAAAATATTTTACTAGTAAAATACATGTTTCATATCATAAGTAGTATTTAGTATTAAAAAAAATTATAAATATTTATTTTTTGTTTTGAAATTTCTTCGTAAAAACACAATATCAGTTATTTTATTTCTCTATAATTGACATTTTAAAAATATTCGATTTATGCCATTCTTATGCAAAAATTGATAGGAAATATGGTCTTCCACATATTTTGACATGGAAATATAAGAAATGTGTTTCTAATTCCAAAAATCACAAGTACAACTGAAAATTTGTCTTTCAAAACAACGTAAAACTAAAGAAATAGCGAATTCCCAAAAGTACAACTATTAATAAATATGCACAACTAAAAAATTGGGCACAACTATGTGCTATATAATAGACACATGTCTTAATTACGTGGCAATGAAAGTGCACATGTGTTAAATATATTCAAGAAATGATGTCAAGTTTCCTAATTTGATTGGGGTTGGCCCAATTTTATTTATCTTATTTTGAAATTGCGCGTTTCTTGAAATATGTTCAAGAAACGATGCCAAGTGTCCTAGAGTTAATCAACATTATAAGTTGAC